GTCGTGCTGACATGGAATTTTCTGATTTTCTTTACAAGAAACCACAATCTACCGATGGCTTCTACTGTGGCATCAGTTTATTGGTGGCAATTCTGAAATGCGTTGAACTGTTTCTTCAATCATCGCACCATTGTAATATTCGTCTCTTTCTCCTTATAAAAGCTTTCAAAAGCTCATTCATTAATCACTCGCATATATTTGTTTGCCTTGTCGAATAGTATTACCATAACGTCATTAGTTCTGTTCGAACCTGGCTACTACACATACCTAAAGTTGTTCCTGCAACTGTTGTTGATGTGCTGGTAGTCACAGTACTAGTGGCCAAGGTGGAGTTCTGTAGTGTAGAAAATATTGTGATTGTTGTTGTAGTTGTTGTTGTAGTTGTGGTTGTAGCTGTTTAAGAAAGTATGAAAAGCTTGTTTGGGTGACGCCCCCAAACCCGACTACTATACATACCTAAAGTTGTTCCTACTGCAATTGTTACTGGTGTGCTGGCAGTGATAGTACCAGTGGCGAAGGTAGAGTTCTGTAATGTAGAAAATATTGTGATTGTTGTTGTAGTTGTCATTGTACCTGTTAAAGAATGTATGAAAAGCTTGTTTAGATGACGCCAGCAAAAACCGACTACTACACATACCTAAAGTTGTTCCTACTGCAATTGCTGTTGGCTTGCTGACAGTCATAGTACTAGTGATAGAGGTCGAGTTCTGTAATGCAGAAAATGTTGTGATTGTTGTTGTTGTTGTTGTGCCTTTTAAGGAAAGCATCAAAAGGCTGTTTGGGTGACACCCTCGACCTGACTGCCGCACATACCTAAAGTTGTTCCTATTGCAATTGCTGTTGGCTTGCTGACAGTCATAGTACTAGTGATAGAGGTAGAGTTCCGTAATGCAGAAAATATTGTGATTGTTGTTCTTGTTGTTGTTGCACCTGTTAAAGAAAGTATGAAAAGCTTGTTTTAGTGACGCCCTCGAACTAGCTACTAAATGTACCTAAAGTTGTACCTGCTGCAACTGCTGTTGGTTTGCCGACAGTCATAGTACTAGTGGCGAAGGTAGAGTTCTGCAATGTAGAAAATATTGTGATTGTTGTTGTAGTTGTCGTTGTACCTTTTAAAGAATGTATGAAAAGCTTGTTTAGATGACGCCCGCAAACCCGACTACTACACATACCTAAAGTTGTTCCTACTGCAATTGCTGTTGGCTTGCTGACAGTCATAGTACTAGTGATAGAGGTCGAGTTCTGTAATGCAGAAAATGTTGTGATTGTTGTTGTTGTTGTTGTGCCTTTTAAGGAAAGCATCAAAAGGCTGTTTGGGTGACACCCTCGACCTGACTGCCGCACATACCTAAAGTTGTTCCTATTGCAATTGCTGTTGGCTTGCTGACAGTCATAGTACTAGTGATAGAGGTCGAGTTCTGTAATGCAGAAAATATTGTGATTGTTGTTCTTGTTGTTGTTGCACCTGTTAATGAAAGTATGAAAGGATTGTTTTAGTGACGCCTTTGAACCTGGCTACTAAATATGCCTAAAGTTGTACCTGCTGCAACTGCTACTGGTGTGCTGGCAGTCATAGTACTAGTGATAAAGGTAGAGTTCTGTAATGCAAAAAACATTGTCGTTGTTGTTGTACCTTTTAAAGAAAGTATGAAAAGCTTGTTTAAGTGATAATTTCTACTAATTTATTTTGCTTTACAATTTCAGTTTGAAAGTGATCACAGATTAATAGCTAACCTCGGCAGGCTAAAAAAAACTACGCCTGTAAAGTTCTCTTTACCAGTAAGAATCTGTTTCGTGTCTGTTTTCGCTGATGCAACGCCCTAAAAGAGTTTGTTACTGGTGCGGACGAAGAGAGGAAATTTAGACAACATTCATAGTGAATTTGAGGTTGTAAAAGAGCGCTCTTTCTAGCTTTGTAACATATATTTTTTAGCCTTTTAACATATATCTCAGGTAAAGAGAGTCCATGATTATGATTACTTTCGTCAGAGAAAAGGTTTTGGGAAAATGAAAAACGTTCAAAACCTATGTAAACACTAGACCACTACTTTTCAAAAATGTCATAAACTAGTTGGTCTAAGAAAAATAAACTAAGAAAAATATAGTAACAAGTAAAAGCTTTTTGTAGATGTAGAGCATCAGTTTCGGTAGGTATCTCAATAGTCTTGTCTTCTCGCTGATGTGTTATGCACGGTCTCCGAACGGAAAGTTTGATTGTTCAAAAGTTTTCACGTTTTTTTCACGTTTGATTTCGTTAGAGATGTACGTCTGTAAAAGCGGAACTTAATTATCTAGTCTAGTAGGCTATGACTGTTGTTCAATTTTAGAGGAAATATGATGAAAAATGGATGACTAATTGTGCAGGGATAGGTAGAAAAAGGGCAAAAAGACGTGTATTCGTTATAAAATATAGCAGTTAGATAAGATGTTCGTCCCATTCTGGAATATATATCCACAGTCTTTGACTGATCGTATAAATCCCATTGAACACCATTTGAAGTTCAAAGACTAGCGAACAGAATAATTTTTAATGACTTCTCCTCGTTTACATGTTCTATTGCTGAAGGACTCAGTTAGAGTTACTAGATAGTCGTAGAACCGTAACGTCTTTAAAATATCTATCGAAAATTATACATGGTCATTCTGCACTCTCCAAATTCTTCTTGCTCAATTTGACACTAGGTTATCGTAATCGAGAAAAGGCAATTCACTCATGTTTTCTGTACCTAACTGTAGAAAAGACGTATTAGTCAACTTTCTTTTTAACAAACAGTAAAGATGTAAAACACCCTTCGTAATTGTGTAATTCTGTGTCCTACAGTGAAAACATTTTGTAAGCAGTTAGCAACCCACTTGTCACAGTCAAAAACAAAAGCATAGCCATATATCATCGAACGTCAGTTTTTTTTCATATTTTCATTGCCACTTATTTGTTGTTTTATTTCTATATCTTCCCTTACTCTTTTTGTTCCTCATTCTAGGATAACATTATAACGGATATACATGTGTTTATCCCTTTTTGCTATGCGTGCTGTGTTCGTTTCTTTTTCTTTCGTGTGCCATCGAAAAAACTTAACGAATAAATTATCTATCTGTCTATCTATCTAAAGTATTGACTCCAAAATATACATAGTCATTTGGTTCCTAAAAACGGATCTTTTTTCTAGTGTATCTAGGCTTAACATTTTTGTTCTGCATTTTAAAGAGGTGAGATTGTAGAGCACATCATATTTTAATGTATTAATGACCTTTTCTGGTGTCCGATCTTTTTGTGATGAAACCACAAACAAATGGCTTGATTGTAGAATTCTAAGAATCTGTCATAAATACTTAATCGACACACAAGTTGTAGTCGATATCTCAGTACTGAGCTGACATTATCAAAAAACGCTTTTGAAGTAACAAAGAATTCCAGTTCCGGGTTCTGGATAATGCCGCTATACCTCGTTTATAAGTTACAAATGGTCGAAGTACCAAATGGTCAGACGGAAAGCATTAGCCACTTACGAGGAACACCATTCTACTGTAACACTCCTTTTTCAATCATTCATACGTCGATCGATAGAGGGTATCGAGATAGTAAAAAGCCTAAAAGGGTTCGTGCCAGTGACTCTTGAAGACCCGGTTTTCTGAAAAACCAGTTTTTCAGAAACCCTGAAAAATAATCAAAACCTTTTGTTAGTGAGACATGATTGTAGCCCGCAAATGTCTGACTAAAATGAGACATTTCCCAGCTCTACACAACCTTTCTTTGCAAAGTTATAGAGTTTACAGCAAAAGCACTGAATTAATTTTTTCTGATTTCTGTAGCTTTGAGCTGAGAATGAACATTTAGGGCTTTTGTTCTAAATTCTACAACTTTGCAAAGAAAGGTTGTGTAGAGCTGGGAGATGTCTCATTCTAATCAGACATTTGCGGGCTACAATCATGTCTCACTATCGATCGTCTCAGTATCGATCGACGTATGAATGATTGAAAAAGGAGTGTTACAGTAGAATGGTGTTCCTCGCTAGCAATGCGCATTTCAGTTGAAAAACACCACTTACCCTCAGATGGAAGATTTGTTTTTGTCGAAGTTTCTTCAGTCCTTGTCAATTGAGTCGTCAGGGATGCTGTTGTCAGCAGTGTTGTTATCGTTGAACTATGGTCACTAGCTGCGAAGCTTTCGATTATTGAACTTGTCGATAGAAGTCCATTTATTGTAGAAAGGAGTTGTGTTGTAGTCTCTGAAATCACCATCAACATTGAACTAACGGGTGGTACAAAACTCTTGCATTAAAAGCTGAACATTGTTTCTGTTTGTTGTCAATGTGCTCAAGAGTTAAGTATTTTTTCATTAGAACGAGCAAAGTCCGAACTTCAAAAAACCATAGAAAACATAATTTTTGCGATTGACTTTGAGGAAGAAAAACTTTCAATACCAAGCGTTGCAAAAAACGCACTTGCAACTTCCGACCCCTTCAAACGCATCTTTCGCAACAAGCGTTCCCTATGACAGAATACGTTTGAAATTATTTAATTATATAAACTAGAAGTGTTTTTACTACTCTTTTAAATGCGATATGATAAATTATGCTTTGATCCACTTTTCGATCGGACCTTTGCAAGTCTTTCATTAGTTTGAAGAGAACAGGTAATTAGACTTAATTAAGAGCCATTAAAGATAAGCCACGACCCAACGTGCTCAATCGACCATCTCAGATTTCTTCCTTAGTCAGGGCTTCTTTAGAGCAAAGCGTTTTATGAATTTTGGCGAAAACCGCAGGTCCTAAAGTTGTTGCGTTGCTGAGATATTCAATTCTTGCAAAGAGCCCGAAAACGCACAAATTTCGGCATCAAACGAAACTGTCAATTTAAACTACGTACAACTCCATAACGATACGTTACTTAGACTTAACAATTCTATCATAACTACTAGATGGTGTCTACTACAAAGTCACACAATCGCGTACACTATGTATACTATTATGAGCTATGATGAGATTTTGGGATCTTTTAAAATTTCTTGGAATATCAAGTGAGGTTTCTAGAAAACCAGACCATGCAGTTTTTTAATCGAATTCGGGATTTTCATATCAACCGCTTTCTGTTTTCATCGAAACTAATCGAATAGTTATAAAAATAGCTTGGCATGTGTAACTTGGTATGCTCTGTAAAATCCCACATTCGACTAAAAAATTTAATGGTCTCGTTTTCCAGGAATTTTACTTGGTTTTCCACGGGTTTTCGAAGATTCCAACAATCCCACCATGCCTCATGATATTTTACATAGTGTATTCCAACAATAGAATAGGGAGCGAGAAATTTACCCCATTTTCCATGAGATAATCGTCCCCCAAATTGTATAGGTCGATGATTTGGGCTCTTACAGCGACATTTACTGTTAAAGAACGAAAACATGTCAGGAGCTCCCGGTTGTGTGAATTTGTAGTAGACACTATCTAGAATTTATGATTTAAGTTGACAGTTTTTCAAGAAGCCGGAATATTCGTTTTTTGGGGCTTTTCGTAAAAATTGAATATCTCCGCAACACAACAGCCTTAGGACCCTCGATTTTCGCGGAAAATTCATGAAAATGTTAGCTCTATAGAAGCCCCTTATGTTGGAAGAAATCGAAGATAGCATTATACGGTAATAGATCTGTCTTATCTTTAATTCTTAATAACTTTCCAAGGTTGAGCAAATTTCCTAAAACACATTTGCTGGAACAGCATGTAATTCTCTACAAATTCATATAGTCTTAACCTGTGCTAACAAGTTTACAGCCCTGAATAGCGAATTTTTCTCGATGTTCCATCATTTACGTGCAAAGTAGTGCTTTCTACCAAAACTAAGACTTATAATGCGCTTTATTTACTATTAACTTACTGCGCTGATTAATTAATTAATGAGAAAGTAGGTAAATTGATAAGCGACGGCGGCAGTAAAATATAAGGTTGTAAGAGCTTTTTGGCGATATTTGGTATCGTGCGGTTTTCTTCCTCAAAGTCATTCGTAAAAATTATCTTTTCTATGATATTTTCAAGTTCACGCTTTGCTCTTTCCAGTGAAAAAATATTAACTCTTCAGCATATTTGTAACCACATTTAGTCCAGGAGTGTTGCAGCACCCATTACTATTAGTAGCGCTTGTTTGTTCAAACAGCGAACTCATCTGAGTTGTTCTTAAAAATAAAGACGATACCTTAACGGCATTGATTGGGAAATAACGTATTGATCAAAATGCTTGACGGAACAAAAAATATCATTTGTCTTCCGTAGTCAATAGAGAAGTATTAGAAATTAATATGCTGGACTCGTTTGATGTCACTGGCTATGCAAAGTTGTCACCTGATAGCATTGACGATAGACTAGTACTACTAGTAGTATTAGATGAAACAGAGGTAAGGGTGAAGTGATATCTCTGCAAATTCAGTCTCTAGAAAACAAATCCGCTTATTAAAGTAAATGGAACTGATGAGCCATGATGAATCACTCAAAAATGAACGTCTTCTTTGTATTAGATTATACGCGTGTCGTTGTTGTTCTACGTTCAATCTTTCCTGGCTTTTGTAAATTATTTTCTGAAATTTGTT